CAAATTTTCCATCAAGTAAGAGTTGGACGTGTTGTGTAGGGAACTCGATTCCCTCAACACAATGAGGAAGCGTTTAAGTCGAACATCAAGCTCAGAGCTCTGCTCTCCAATTAGAGGTCGGTTTGAATCACCAGATCGGCCAGCACACAACAAAAAATGAAAAAAATACAAAGGAGAGAAATAGAGAGAAGAACACAGTCAAGTTGTTTAACGTGGGAAAACCTTCTCCAATATGAAGAAGTAAAAAACTCACGGGACACTAGTCCAGAATCAAACTTCCACTATGTAAATAATGGGTTACAAAAGGATTAAACTTCACCAACAAATGGTGGTACACTCAAATATCACCTTTAATGGTGGTATTCTCTCAACCTTTCATAAAGAGGTCTAGTGCTTAAGCTTCTCCCTGTAAGTGCTCTCAGATTCTAGGCTCTAAGCCTTTCTTCAAATGTCTCTAAAAAATTGTCTAACCCTAAACTTCCACATACCTCAAACTTATATAAGAGAGGAAGGAAAATTTCTAGAATATGAAAGTAAGGACTAGGGTTTCTTGAGCCTCACAAAAACAACATTGGGCCTAGGGTAGCATTGAAGGAGGAATGGTCTAAAAAATCTCTCCCTTCCGACTTCAATGCGTTGGCATCAGCTGCGGCACGACACCTTCGCAATAATTTTCAAATTTTTTTGCTGGTACTAGCTCAGTCATCATGTCAGACCAATTGAGATATCGGTGTGTACTTTGACTAAGTTCGAGTTGTCCGTCTTCCACCATATCCTGAATCCAATGATATCTTTCTTTAATATGTTTAGTGCGGGAGTGATAAGTCGAGTTGTTCGCAAGATGAATTGCACTTTGATTATCTCATTTCATCTCGTACTTGTCTTGATTATGGCCGAGTTCCAAGATAAACTTTTTTATCCACAATAATTCTTTGCAAGCCTCGGTTATGGCTATGTACTCAGCCTCAATCGTCGAAAGTTCCACACACTTCTGCAATTTAGATTGCTAGGAGACAACTCTTACAAAAGTCCTTAGATATCATGTTGTCGACTTCTATAGTCGACATCTCCCATTAAATTTACATTCGTAAAGCTTTACAACTCGACCTTACCTTCTTCAAAGCGGAGGCATAAATTTGTTATTCTTCTAAAATACTTGAAAATCCATTTCACAGCTTCCCAATGCTCTTTCCAGGGGTTGGACAGATACCGACTGACAATTCCAACTATAAACGCCAAGTTGGGTCTCGTACAAACCATAACATATATCAAGATTTTGACAGCGGATTGGTATGAGATCTTTAGCATCTCCTTTTTCTCCTCATCAGGCCTCGTACACTGCTTCTGACTCAACTTAATGTGTTCGACTAAGGGGGTGCTCACTGTGTTGGCTTTGTCCAGTATAAATCTCTTCAATATCTTCTCAATGTTTTTCTCTTGACTCAGCCATAGTAGCCTTTTAGGTCGGTCTCGGACAATCTTGATTCCGAGTATCTGCTTTGCAGGGCCAAGGTCCTTCATAGCAAAGGATGAGCTTAACGCCTTCTTCAGGGTGGCTATCCTTATTTTGTCTTGCCCTAAAATCAGCATGTTGTCAACATATAAAAATTATTAGGAATGTGGCTTCCATACTCAAAAGGGGGGGTGAATTGAGTATTACAAGATTTTTCGCAAAAGTCCCCTTCTAGTTTCTAAATAATCATTTCAAGCACACTTTGATATATGAAAAGCTAATCAATGCATTCAAACAATCCTTAATATATAATCTATCACAATTATAAAGCCTATGCTAGCACATACAAGATATCAAAAAAGCAATTAAAGTGCTAGAAATAAAGAGTGAGGGTTTAAAAAAATGCAAATTCAATATATCTTGGTTCGGTCACTACCACTTGGGACCTACGTCTAGACTGAAGCCAATCAACAAATTTTTTTACTATTTGTCAAGCTTCACGGGTGCTTAACAAACCACTGCAATCTTCTAAGACTTCGGGCTCTTAGATTCCTTCCATTCTAAATTTACATAGGTATTTGGGTACCTTTCAAATGCAATTGGTCTCACAACTCTCTCAACTCAAGAATACATTGGAGGAAGTATTTGAAAATAAATATACACTCTCAAAGTGTGGATATACAACTTGAAGCACTATGGTATATGAATTTTTGCAATATGAGCTCAAATATATTTGATTTTTGAAAGATATGAAAGAATATGCTAATGATAGTGTCAAGACTCTCAAAGTATGCTTAAGATGTGTAGGAATGATGCCCAATCAGTTTTAGAGCCTTTGAGAATGTATATATAGTGATTTTTCCCAAAACTAGCCGTTATAGGCTTTCTACTGCACAGGGAATCGATTTCCATGCTTGGGGAATTGATTCCCAAAACCTTTCTAATGTGAGGGAACCGATTCCCAACCTATTGCAGGTTGGAAATTCGACAGCATGAATAATGTTTCGTATTTTGGCCATAACTTGAACTATTCTTATCGGATTAATGTGATCTTGGTTTCATTAGAAAGATAAAAGAAATATCTACAACTTATATGCAGAACAAAAGATCCATGTCAATCATCATGGATATGAAAAATGGGTCGGAAGATAGAATCCAAAATTATGCAGCAAATTTGAGTTTAAATACATTCCAACTTGTTTCCAACAACTTTTATGAAAGATCTTGATTTGATAAACAAGTTTTGAAGTTATAAACCCTGTCAAGGATCTTTTACATGTGTTTTTTAAATTTCTTTCAAGTATATAAAGGTTATGGATTATGTAATTTGAAAAATACATTTACTTTGAGAAAAACTTTGAGCTCATGCAATGCAATCTACCATATACCTTTACATACGAGTCTAAGTCCTAAAGATATATTTCAAATATGATTTTAGACTGGGCTTCATGTCTTGTGTCTTGGATCTTCACTTGAGCTTAATGTTTTAACTTGTTGGATATGGCAATGCTTTACACTTTGTTGGTTTTGATCATTTTTCACCATGATTGTGATATTGAGCTTCTCATAGAAGTTGTCCATGGGTTTTTGTCTTTGATCTTGGTGTTGTTCTTCTAATTATTCTTTGTTGCTCCTAATCCAATGATCTTGCCACTTTGATATGGCATTACTCTTCTTGTGTGACTACATCATACATCTTCAAATCCATATATGGTTGATGTTTTTTGCTCTTAATCAATGCTCTTATCTTTTTGTGTTTGCCACTTTGTTATCATCGAAACATATCTTGTATCTATAATCTTCCCCTTTTTGATAATGACAAACTTAAAATTAAGAAAGGGTTAGTATAACAAATATTTTCAAATAATGTATTGATGTACTCCCTCTCAATTTATGAATGGTTTGAAAATGTTATATTTATCAAAGTGAAGCATTACAAACCAATATGTATGTGTACGATGAGAGAATATAATTTTCTCAATTTTCATATATTTCTCCCCCTTTTGAAAACATCAAAAAACATAAATCATGTTAAACATATGAATTTGTGAGCAACATAACAAATATCCGTTAATCATGGTAATAAAGACCATATGTTATTTAGCAACAAAGCAAAAATATCAAAGCAACTAACAATACTTTCCCTTAATCCATGAATGGTTTCAAAAACAAAAGTACGGGAATTCTGGGGTCAACAAACCTCACTTTTACCTTTTTAGTACATTCTCCCATTTTCATCTTTGATTTTACCTTTTCTCCACATGTTAGGTAGAAGCGTACTACATTTTCTCAATTGACATTTATTCTTCCCCTTAGGCAACATCAAAAGGCATTAAATAGTCCAAGATATATAACAAAGCATTCAAATGATTCAAATGCAATTATGCAGTGGATTTAAATCATCAAATGCTAAATAGTACCCTTTTTATCTTTTTATAATTAAATTCTATTTGTAAAAAATAGAATAATTATAAATTTTTATGAATTATTTTAATAATCCTCTTAAAGATTTGAAAATAAATTATTAAATGCTTTATAAGTTTTAAAAACGTTAGACTTTTTATACTTTTGTATATCAATACTTATCATTTTAATTCATTAAAAGAATTTATGAAAATTTAACATGAAGGTATAACATTAATAGTAAACAATCTTATCTTCTTAATTTTTAACTAATTTTGTTTCACTTTTTTATTCAAATAAGTAGCTGTTCATTAGGAAGACTAAGGTAAGCTATCCTTTTAGTTATATAAGAGTAATACGTAAATGACAATTATTTGCAAACTTAAAAGATATTTCTTCCGTCAACATACGTATCTGTTTATATATCTTCTCAAGGGATTTGATTTATCAAAGAAATGTATGGCAAACTATAAAAAAAGAATGACATAAAATTAGAGTTATTGCATGTACCCAAATTAGAGTACTTATCTATTCAGGTCACCTTATACAGTTTTTACCATGAACCAAAACTATTCAAAGCCTAGTCTGCTTTCATTTCAATTTTGCTTTGCCTATATTATTATACATTAGACAAAACAGGAGATATTACCCAAAAATAATTGATGTTGAGTGCCATTCATGCTCCTTTCCGCATTTCCATTGGGTAGTTGGACAAGCTTTCAACTGCTTTTCTTAGATCACAACTCACATGTAACAAATATCACTGTTTCCATCGATATTACATCCTACATATGCAAGACAATGATTTTATCCAAAAGTTACGATAAGGGAGTTTACTTGCTAAAAAATAAGATATCGAAAAGGGCTATGTACCCAAAAATATATTGACACGTTACACGTAGAAGTTGTTGTCATCTTTGAAAAAAATGGAAAAAGTCCAATCTCTTAATCTCTCTAACTAACAAGTCCCCTGTGGCCTGTCTCTTCCTCTTTTAGGACTTTGGGGTGCCCATAAATTGGAGTAATTGCTCGCTCGGTTCTTCATCACTTTTTGTCTCGGATAAAAAAACATTGCTTCCCTTTGACAAAGTAGAGATTTCATCTCACTTCATTTCTTAGCTTTTTTCCTTATTCTCCGTCAGTGATGGCTGATAATTCATCAAGCAATGGAAACAACGAAGTGGTTTTAAATTTAAACGGTGATGCCTCCAAAAAGTGTGACGGCATCGAAGAAGACTGTGTGCCATTTTTGCAGAAGGTGTCTCTCCTAATCTTTTCTTTCCATATACAAAAAAGTGGTTTCTTCTCTACCCAAAAATCATTCAAATGCTGTGTTTCCCAACCCATATGGGTTTTACAAAAATGAATTGTTGTCCCTGATAAAATTCCAAACTTTTTTGTTGTTTTTATCGATTATATATATATATATATATATTGAGCTTGGAAATTGGATTAGAATACCAAAACTTAACTAATGGTTAAATTTGATCATTCGTATTGATCGAATGTAGGTGGTGACAGAGGTGGTGGGGACGTACTTCTTGATATTTGCAGGATGTGGTTCGGTGGTTGTGAATCTTAACAACGACAAGGTGGTGACTCTTCCCGGGATTTCCATTGTTTGGGGACTCGCTGTTATGGTATTGGTTTATTCAGTTGGACACATCTCTGGTGCTCATTTCAACCCAGCTGTCACACTTGCTCATGCTTCCACCAAAAGATTTCCATGGAAGCAGGTCAACCAAATTAATTAACCATAATATTCATATCCAAATAATTAAAACACTTAAATGTCTCAGTTTGTCTTAAATTAATATTGAATTTTCCTTCATTTGGTGTTGCAGGTGCCAGCATATATAATAGCTCAGGTGGTTGGATCCACACTTGCAAGTGGAACACTAAGACTTATATTCATGGGAAAGGATGACCATTTTGCCGGAACACTTCCCGCCGGATCTAACCTGCAAGCTTTTGTGGTCGAATTCATTATCACTTTCTACCTAATGTTCATCATTTCTGGAGTTGCCACCGATAACAGAGCGGTAATGAAAATTCTTACTTGTTTGCTGTCATATTTTCTATTGAACATTTTGATTAAGACTTGTTTAGCATATGGGGGTTGGCAAAGCACCTAGAAAATTTCTCTAACCTTTGACATAAAAAACGGGTTATTTAAATTGACCAATTGTATAAACATATTTGTAACATTTCGAATCACTTGGAAATTGGAATGCATGCTAGAAATTTACATCACAAGGCGCATTTCACGCGTATCAAAATCCATGTTTACTTTCCTTTATATCTCCAAAAAAAAAAAATCTATATTTTAGAATAATTTTCAACCCTATTTTATCGCTTTTCTTTATTCAATTATTTTGGAAATCCTGCAGATTGGTGAGTTGGCTGGGCTTGCAGTTGGGTCAACGGTACTGCTAAATGTGATGTTTGCCGGGTATTAACTCCTCCCGAAACTTAATTTAATATACCGTTTTAAATTACGTTATTCAATAAAATAAAAGATGTTACACCTTTTTGAAGCAAGGACAAACTCAGAACTCATTTGTGCGTGAATAATATGTGACAGGCCAATCACTGGAGCATCAATGAATCCAGCAAGAAGCTTGGGGCCTGCTATTGTGCACAGTGAATACAAAGGAATATGGATATACTTGGTCTCACCCATTCTGGGTGCTGTGGCTGGTACATGGACATATAATTTCGTCAGATACACAAACAAGCCAGTGCGTGAGCTCACCAAGAATGCCTCTTTTCTCAAAGGAAAAGGAAGTGGTGGAGCTGAGTGATGTAACAGTAAATGCAAGAATGTTCTTTTCTCTCTTTTAAAAGTTATGAATACTATAGTTTTGTTTAACATGTAAAAGTCATGACTTATAAAAAGCCAGATAAACGAGTCATAATAATTCATTTACATTTTGCTATCTATTAATAGAACCGATCAATAAATAAAACGCTAGAGTATATGAAAGTAGCATACGTGGAAAAATCTTACGAAGAAGATACAAATCCTATTTAGTAATTTGGTTCCGCTAAATCTACAATATCTATCTATCTATAGAGAGTTCACGGCTGGAAAGTTTTGCCAAGTGTCACTCCCTGGTTAATTCTACAATTTGGTTATATACAAACTTTCTTTATTGGGTAAATTGGAATAAAAATTGAATTTTAATTTTTAAATCGAATAATAGTTGCAGACAAGGCATTGAATGTCCCACTGCCCATCACATTGGTATCCAAAAAAAAATCAGCTGTTTTAATTGATTTTTATGTTGGAATTTTGGTCATCTCATCTGAAATTCGAAATTTTAAATGGTTTATCAATTAAATTTCGAAATTATGTATTTATTTTGCACAATGTGAAATTCAAAATTTTAAATTCAATAAAAAGAAAACTCTTTTCACGGACATGCATTCACGATCTCTATTCATGGAGATCAATAGAAACAAAAACAAATTTCACAATTGTTGAAGACCTGATCGTCATTCAATTCACAATTTCGTTATGGTTATTTTTTAAAAAATATATACACAATAATGATATAACAAAGACATTATCTTTGTTATATAATTAATTCAAATATCATAACAATCAAGAATCAAGAGAGCTGACAGACAAAATAAATTAGATAATCAGGTGTTTTAATTGCTTTTTATGTTGGAATTGGTCGTCTGATCTGAAATTCGAAATTTGAAATGGTTTAAAATTTTGAATTTAAATATGGATGGTGGGAAAAGAAATTCTTTTAAAAATCAAATTTTAATCTTTAAATCGAATAATTAAATGACCATTTGTGGTGGCAGACAAGACATTGAATGTCCCACTTCCCATCACATTGATATCCTAAAAGAAATCAGCTGATTTAATTGTTTTTTATGTTGGAATGCGTCATCTGATCTAAAATTCGAAATGGTTTAAAATTTTGAATTTAAATATGGATGGTGGGAAAAAAATTTCTTTTAAAAATCTAATTTTAATTTTTTAAATCGAATAATTAAATGACCATTTTTAAATCGAATAGTGCATATTCGTGTATAAATAGGTATTTGGAAGCGTCTCTATTTCGTTCTTTTCACCCTGAGTTTTTTTGATCGAATACGACACTGTCATTTCTGCACACTGAGTTTTTTTGATCTCGCGGACTTTTCTTTTCTATTTTTCTGGTATTTTTGGGAGTATCTCTCTTTTCTCTTCGCTTTTCCGTTGAAGCACATCTATATATATATAAAGGAGAGTTTAAAAAGTTCTTAATTTATCTTCTCTTTTCCCTTAATCAAAAGTTCTTCCAAGCAAGTTGGGCGCTGTCATGAATAAACATCAATCAGATTTCCAAACTCCCCAAAATAAGAGAAGAAGGACGGACCGTTTAAAAAATATTCTGAGTGATTCTTCGACCTCAGGCTGTCGTGTGTTGTCTCCCTTTACTAGTAAGTGTGAAACGCTATCCTTCGACCTGTTCATGGTTCGTATGTTTATTTTCTGTTACAGAAGTTTCTTTGTTGTTCATTTCTTTTTACAATGCTTACTATGAACATAAGTCACGCTTCTTTTTTACTCATTTCACTATGAACATATATAAGCTGCTTTTTTTTTTTTTTCAGTCATAACATATCCCTATTACATGTAGCTGTAGTTTACAAAAAATATATAAATAAATATATTTCTTCGTATGCAGACTTTGATAAGTTTCTTTTGTTTGTCATATTGTAGAGAATCTATCTCCGTTCACTGACACCCAGGCCAGCATGTATTTTTTATTTCGCTCTGAGTTCTTTTTGTGTTGCTTTGTAATGGTTGATTTCAAATCCTTTTTAGTTCCATTAGATGTTATTTCTGATTGTTGCTTTTTATAACATGTAGACTTTCTGAAGTAAGCAATGTACACAATCAGTTGAGCTGCAATAGACAACAGCTTCGTAATATTACTAACGGTAACATTACGTTCACTGTTAAATTGTAGAAAAGTATTTGTAGTTTAAACCCTAAAAAATTAATATGATATAATTCTTCGTATGTAAATGTTATTAAATTTTTTTCTTCAACGTGTATGAGTTCATATCAGTATACAGAACAAACGTTTATTGGTTGTGTATTTGTTCTCTTTTGTAGAGAATATATCTCCGTTCACTGACACCCAGGCCAGCAGGTATTTTTTATTTCGCTCTGAGTTCTTTTTGTGTTGTGTTCTAATGGTTGATTTCAAATCCCTTTTAGTTCCATTCGATGTTGTTTCTGATTGTTGTTTTTTATAACATGTAGACTTTACGAAGTAGGCAATGTACACAATCAGTTGAGCTGTAACAGACAACAGCTTCGTAATATTGTTAACGGTAACATTACTTTCTCTGTTTGATGAAACAAAGGTTGTGTCAATTAAATTCATTTGGTTTGATAAAAAAATAGCTCCGTAAGTATTTAATTTTATCGTTTGCTTCGTAATTCATTTGGTTCAAAAAATTGGTGTCCTCATATTTTTTGATAGATACCAAAAATGCTAGAATGAGACAAAAAAGCATACTGGCTGAAAAGAAGAATTCTAGGCGTTTTATTAATGTAGACAATATAACTCGAATGGAAGACTTAATAGGTAATTTGTCATGTGCTGCTTATTGTTCATTCATTATTTTAATTGGATAATCAGGTGTTTTAATTGCTTTTTATGTTGTAATTGGCCGTCTGATCTAAAATTTGAAATTTGAAATGGTTTAAAATTTTGAATTTAAATATGGATGGTGGGAAAAGAATATTAGCTGAAGGCAAATCTATTATCGAAAAAGAAAATATAGTAGAAGATATTTTTTTTTCGGTACATAGAAGATACTTTTAATTTTACTATAGTGATAACCTTTTTTTATCTAAAATAAAATAATGAAACTTTATTTTAAAAGCTTGCGTTTCCTTCTATTTTTTCCCACCCATTGTTAAGGGGTGATTGACTCCACAACATAAACCTCACATTCTACGTTGTAATTAAGACATGTAAAATAATCGAACCAAATCAAATTGAATCGAATGGAATGGAAACACATTTTTCTCAACTAATTTTAAGAATTGAACTGATTTTATAAATAAATTTAAAAATTAAATTGAATCAACTAAATACTAAAATGAATTTTGATCTGGTTCTGAAGTATGAACCGCTTCTGAAATATAAATAGCTTCTAAACCATTTTTGAACTTATTTTGAACCGATTTTGTGAGAAAATAAAAATAATTAAGGGTCTATTTGAATTGACTTATAAAAAAAAAAAGTTATGCCTTTTAATTTTAGAAATATTTTTTACAAAAAAAAATAGATTTTAAAAAAATATTTGATTTTTGAATTCTGCTTTTTTTTAAATTAAAATTTTTTGCTTTTTAGAAAAAAGATTTTTGGTTTTTTATGTAGCTGTAGTTTACAAAAAATATATAAAAATTATTACAAAAAGAAACGTGGACTGCCCGTGGTGAAGATGGTTATCGTGATGATGTCGAGCGATCTTATACATCCCATGGTAGGACTAATCCAAGATCCACTGTTAGCATGCGAGAATTCTTTTCGTTCAGAATTCAAATGAGATCAGGAGAGTCCTAAGTTCTCCATCACTCAAGGAAGCTTTTTCAACAATTTTTAGTTGATGCTTACACTATGGTTGAGTCTGATCGGCTGAATTTTATTCGATATAACCAGAGTCATCTCAGGTTAGAGTTATACAAAATTATTAAAAATGCATTTGACAGGGGTGAAGATGAAGCTATAAACACTGGAAAGCGTATGATTATTCCTTCTTCGTTCACAGGCGGACCTAGATATATGGCTGAGAATTGTAAAGATGCCTTTGCAATCTGTCGTTGGGCTGGATATCCTCATCTGTTTATAACGATCACCTTCAATCCTAAGTGGCCAGAGATTACCAGATTTCTTAAGGCAAGAAAACTCAACGCTGAAGATCGTCCTGATATTCTATGCCGAGTATTCAAGTTCAAATTGGACGAATTGCTACATGATTTAAAAAAGGGTCGTGTTCTTGGCACGGTTAATGCACGTAAGTGTATTGTTGAGATTATTTTTTTTCGATTTTTATGACAAAATTTACACATTGATATATAGAAAATAATTGGACAAACCGGATCACAATTTTATGTATCCTACCAAAAAAATTCAAAATAAAAATCGAAAAAAACCAATTTATTGATTTTAACTAACTCTGTCTGTTTGTTTAATGTAACAGATGTTTGTACAGTTGAATTTCAAAAACGTGGACTGCCTCATGCTCATATTCTACTTTTCTTGCATCCCTCCGAAAAGCCTAATACTGGACTTGACATTGATAATTTGATTTCAGCTGAGATTCCTAACAAAGATTCCAATCCTTCACTTTTTGCAGCTGTCACGAGTTATATGATGCATGGACCCTGTGGTCCTGACAATTACAAGTCTCCTTGCATGAAGAACAGACATTGTTCAAAGAAATTTCCCAAGAAGTTCTGCTCCCGTACTTTTATTGATGATGATGGATTCCCTCATTATAGAAGAATAAATGATGGAAGTGTTGTCAAAAAGAACGGCGTTGAACTTGATAATTGTTATGTTGTGCCGTATAATGCAAAACTTCTTCTAAAATACCAAGCGCATATCAATGTTGAATATACTTGTCAAAGTAGTGCCATTAGATATCTCTTTAAATACATCCATAAAGGGCAAGACAGGGTGACAGCTGCTATAAATCATTCAGATGATGAAATCAAAATGTTTTATGATTGCAGATTGTTGAATTCATATCGGTTATGT